CGGGGGGGCGGGCGCGGGCCCTGCCGCAGGTGCTGGAGAGCTTCAAGATCATGGACTACAGCCTGCTGCTGGGCGTGCACAACCTGGACCAGCAGGAGCGCGAGCAGCAGGCCCAGGGCGCCCGCAGCGCCGCCGACGGCAAGCGGCCCGCCGGCCAGAAGGCACTCTACTCCACCGCCATGGAGTCCATCCAGGGCGGGGCGGCGCGCGGAGAGGCCATCGAGTCGGACGACACGTAGGTGGGGCGGCCCCAGCTCCCCGCCCGCCCTGCTGCAGTCCCAGGCCCCCTCCCCCGGCGGGAGGCAGGGAGGGGCTGGCGACAAGCCGGAGTCCGGAGGCCTCCCTGGGCCTGGGACCCACCAGTGACGAGGGAACAGCAGCTGTCACCTCCCAGGGCTGCATCGGTCACACGCCCGTCACACAGTCCCAGGGCCTGGGCGCGTAGGGACAGTGGTGTTCCAGGGTGACCCGTGGGTGGGTGGAGGCTGAGGCCATGCCCTGGGAAATGCAGAGACCCCACCACCACCAGCCTGCAGCTAGCACAGCTGGGAGCCCACGCAGGAGGGTGTCTGTGGTGACACGGCCCGACGGCCACAGCTGGGTGAGGCAGACTGTAGCCAGATCTGGAACCCGCAAAGGAGTGGGATGGGGACATTTGCACCACAGGGGGGGAGGCCAGGTGGACTCGGGCGGCCGGTACGAGCAGTCCGACCCCTGAGTGCTTCTGCTGGGCGCTGGGAACCGGGCTATCCTGCCCTCCAGGGCTCGGGGTTTCCTGGGGGAGTCCCTCGTAGGGGCCCTCCCTCTGGCAGTGTGGACACAGGGGCCAGCTTGTCTTCTGGGGGCGTCATGGGCTCTGCAGGTGCTGAGTGGTGTCCCTGGCCCCACCCGCTCTGCCAGGAGCTCCCTCGGCAGTGACAACCACAGGTGTCCCCAGACAAAACCCGAGGCTGGAGCTCCAGGTCCCTTACCTGTTCAGCACTCGCGGGGTCCTGCAGGAGGCTAGTGCGTCACCTCCAGTCCAGAGAGCGAAGGCTTTGAAGTGGGAGGGCGTCCCAGGGCGTACGGATGGCCGAGCAGAGCAGGGGTTGATCCTGTGCTCGGCCAGAGGGTACGAGGACTTGCGCCCAGGGCCCTGGCCAGGGCGAGGGCACGGGGGAGGAGCACGTGCAGGGGGGTGTCGCTGTCCCGCTCAGACTGTCTTGGCCTTTGTAGGGTCTACGCAGGGCCTGGCAGACAGCAGGTGAGCCCAGCCACGCATGGTTTGTCGTGGGGGGAGCTTCAGGTGACTCCTGACGGCCGTGACTTCACTAACGCTGCTGGCCTGGCGGTGTGGGCGTGGCACGAGTGTGCAATTAATTCCTAGCCAGTAGCCAGCAGTGTGTGTGTACCGCGTGCACGCGCATCAGGACACGCCCGTTGTCCTGTGGCCAGGGACCTGCCAGCAGCGAGCGGGGGTTACATTTATTCCTTAGCCAGTAGCCAGCAGTGTGTGTGTACCGCGTGCACGCGCATCAGGACACGCCCGTTGTCCTGTGGCCAGGGACCTGCCAGCAGCGAGCGTCCTACCCCCGCCGCTTGTACCCACTCCCCAGGACAGGCCCTGGGTAGGCATCCAGCTCTGGGCCAGCGGAGGCCTCACCCGCAGGAGCCGGAAGGAGGGTTCTCAGTGGTGCCCACGCTGACGCAGCCCTGTCTCCACAGCATGGGCGGGATCCCGGCCGTGGACGG